TTGCACTGTCAGTTTATATTTAATAATTCATAATTTGACAGTATACTGGGTCATGTCAAACTCATGTCAAAATTAGTTCTTTTGATAAATAAAAGCAGGTTGAGTTTATAAGAAGACAGAAAGAAAGAAAGAAAGAAAGAAAGAAAGAGAAAGAAAGAAAGAAAGAAAGAAAGAAAGAAAGAAAGAAGAATCTGATCACTATGAATTCCATCAGCTCAGATTTATTATGACAGTGAATTTATTTTGACTGGACTGGAGCTGTGGTCTTTCAGAAAAACAAGAGCAGGGTGTATTATCAGAGAGCTCCAGCAGAGGGCAGCATGCTGTCATTTTCTGTAGGTTTCCAGTTGCTACTGGTGCTTCAGTCTTCTTCCTGTCAGGATACCTTCAAAGGCTCAAACAGCCAGGTTTGACCCTTACAAGACCATCAAGTTCTGTTCAGTGTCTTAAATAATACAAATACATCGGGGCGAACACACAAGAACAAAAACACTACAGCTGTCAAATTCACACAAATAACACAAAGAGAAAATTTGCATTGTGTTATTTATGTGAATTGTGTGTGAGCACACATTTAGAGATAAGTATATACATACTTGAAGAAAAATAGAAAATAAAACCCAGTTTTCTGTTCAAACTGTAGTTTCAAATGAAGAAGAAAACACAAGCGTTAAACATTTTAACTCATATAAAGAGGTGGATCCTTTTACAGGTATCATCACATCATTGTCAAGCTGAGCTACTAAATGTAAATGTATTTTATCATAATTAGTGTATGAAATTTTGAGTTACAGCCAAAACATATTTTGTGTGGTCACAGTGATCTTGACCTTTGACCACCAAAATCGAATCAATTCCAAGGTCCGAGTCCAAGATTTTGTCCGAAATCATTGTCATTCACTGCTCCCTACCCACTATCCAGGGAGTTCTATGTAGAGGACTGTACAGTGAGCTCATCAGTAAAATGGAAAAATACTTTCGGACACTACCCAGGTAAATTTCCAAGCACCATTTTTTTGTCTTTCAGCGTGCGCACAATGCATGATGGTATATATGGCTCGGTTAGAGACCATTAGCTGTCCAGTACTTTTCATGATTGTGCATTTATAGCTCTGTGCCAATTCAGGGGCCGCATCCTTCAGAGCACAGTCTACGTCGGTGTTGCCCTTTGTAGCCATCATAGAACACAATTAAGGTTGCCACCCATTCCGTATAATACGGGATCGTCCCGTATTTGAAAATCTTTTCATTCATGTTATGTCCTCAAATTGCTGTGAATAATGTAATGTCAAGTAAAGCCAAACCAGTTGTAGCCTACAAGTGGATTGGAAAAGTTATCAATCAGCAATAGATTTACAAGCTCTGTGTACTGTGAAAAAATGCAGAAGACAGAAGTCCCTTATTTTTTTGGCAACCCTAAACACAAAGGTCAAACTGTAATGAGATAGTCTGGTCTACAGAGGATTTGTTTACTGTAAACAACTGTTCCTGCCCTTACCGTTGCATCACAAAGGGTGGCTCCTGTCACCTAGCAACCTTAGCTAACTAATCATGGCTTCTTTTTTTTTTTCAAAACTTGAGGTTTTAAACACACAGCATATAACTTCTGCCTCTAGGGATATCTCAATCAAAACAATAAGAAAGGACAGTGGGGGGTGATGTCATGAAATAGCATGGGATCATGGGAGTTGTTGTCTTCACCACTATTACCATAAGCTCCTCCCAGTTTGGATTCCTTCTGTGTCAGTGGTTCAGGAAATCGAACTTTGTAGTGACAGTTGTTGAGCTGCAATCACACATTTCATTTCTTTACTTACGTTTTCATTTGGACACAATAACTCAACACTGATATGTATTTTTAAAAGGCTTTACAGAGGCCAGGATCACATCTGCAGTTGTTTTAAAAAATGTTATCATGTAGTTGATTCAGAACAGCTCATAGTGAAATTTTTTTCTCTGCTAATAATTAAAACATGTCTGGACTGAAAACCTGTAATTGGTCAATTTAAAATGTGCAAAGATGAACTAATTGTATCAGACACAGTTGTGTTTGTTCCCACCTAATGTAAGTTCAACGTGTGCTGTTATTTTAGTTGATTTGTGCTTTTAATTCCATGTAAGAAGGCTATGAGAAGCTGTAATGTTACAAACTACAAGGGAATTAAAAAAATCACACACATCTGCTTCTGGGCGAACCTTTGACCGAAGTGTGAGCACATGTTGTTACCTTCTGTAGCAGACCATGTCTCAACCTACACAAGAAAACAATGACAGAACAGAAAGTAAAATTATACAGTGGGGAGACCACTTTCAGACAGGGCTGCATGATATGCAAAAAAAAAAAAAAAAAACATATTGCAATTATTTTGGCAGATATTGCAGTTGCAATATGCATTTAATTTCATCACTGAAAAACTCTTGTACCTAACAAACATGTTCCTTTTCATCTGATAATAAGATTTGTAGGCCGGGGCGTCTCTGCTAATAATGCACAACAATGTGACACATTTTACCTTTATCAAAAGAAAATTGCTGTGATTTGGATATTGCACTTTGCCATATTGCAATTTTGCTTATATTTCAATTAAATGTGCAGCCCTCCTTTCACATTCAAGCGAATGGTAAAAGGTTGAGGCACAAAAACCTCTTGGTTAGGGTTAGGATTCTTTCTGCCAGAAAGAATGTGGATGAGGTGATAGCTTTTGTGCATCAGGAACTACAACACAGTGCAAGAGCATTGCTGGTTACATCTATGGACAATTCAATCTCAGAGAACATCCAGGGTATTTTCTCATAAATTTACAACTTTAAGCTCTGAATACTACCCTCATCCCTCTGTATCTATTTCTTTATTTACTGTCTTACTTATTTTTTATTGTCAATACCCCTCACTGAAGGCAGTTATTTCTTTATTTACAACTGTAGGATACTTAATTTTCTGAGCAATCTTTAGAGATAAAATACAACTGCAGTAACATTACACTTTCAATAAATAGTCACATTAGGGCACAATGATTCCTACCTGGATCCCATACTGATAAAATACTGCACTCTTCCTGATGGAATTTGCTCTTTTTAAAGAGAGCCTAGTTACTTCCATGGGACAAATGACCCTGTTCTATTTGACTTTTACCTTAACCATCTCCACAGTCAGTCCACAGTGTGATAAACAGCTGTAGTAAATTGTCTGGCTGCTCCATCCAGGGCCTCTCCTCTACCTCTTACCAATATCATTATGATGTTGAGATCGGGGTGTTAACCCTTTAAATGTACATCTCAATCTATCTGACAGGAATCTATGTCGTTGAATCTGAAATATGCAACTTGATCCAAGTTTAAGTATTTTTGAGTGAAAGAATGATAAAATGTGTTTGTAGCCTCAATGTGAAAAAAGCTCAAATAAATGGTGATGCCCTATAAACATAAAACAAACAAGTAAAACAGGAAAAAAACAACTGATGAAATGTGCCATGTCTTAGTGTTGAAAGAGTCACAGGAACAGAAAAACAAACACTCATCAGTCTGCTGAAAATGAAACTGCTGTGTGGTCGGAGAGAATTAAGGTATGCTTCACGTAAGTCACGAATATGATCAAAGTGAAACTAAGTGGGACTATAATTTCATAATGAATATAAATGACATGATTTTTTTCTGCTGCTAACGGTTTACATTCCTAGGATCAGTCCACTGTCAGCACACACACAAGGTAGGACGGTGTTATGATGTCTGGGGTTAGATTTATGGTTGAGTTTGTTTATGCTCGTAAAACTGATTAAAGAAGAGTAACTAGGGAATATGATCATTGTAATATTGACAGTAAACATACAAGACTGCGGATTTAGTCATTGTTAGGAGATTTAGCTTTAGCTATTCTGTTTGTACAGCAATTTGAATCATAAATAAAAAATATTTGCTAAAATGACTGTATTTATTTTAAACCTTCAAAGTAATATAATATTAAATGTATTTGTCAGTTTACTTTACTACACTTCTACAACCAGGTGTTTGGTTAAAGACAGAAGCAAAATACTTTCTTTAAACATGAGCTCAGAGTAAATGTTTTACTTTCATCATGAATTAAATATTTGCATTTGCTGTATTTATCATAAATTACAATGTAATATAACATTATAAAGGTATTGGTCAGTTGCTTTATACCTTTAGTACCAAGTGTTCAGTCAGTTTAGTTTAAGACTGAAACAAAATGATTTCATTTAACAGCTCAATGTAAATGGTTTACTTTCCAGCAATGGGAGCAAATAAGTCTAAACCTGCTGATGAACCTCGAGCACGCAAGGTCAAAAAACAGCTAAAGCCAGAGTCGCCATGTAAGTTTGGCCTCGGGCCAATTTTTTTCTAATCAGATGGTGGGACAGAACATAATCAAGGCCAATTTAAGAAATTGATTGATAAAAATGCATGTGGAATTTACTTTGCAACTGTTCATATGTGTGGGGCTGTGACTGTTTGTGTCCGTCATTCACTCTCAAAATGGATAGGTGTAATAAGCATTCTTCAGGTGGGGGTAGATTCTCTGTTTGGACATTATAATTAAATGTGGGACTGTCAGTCCAATATTGTAAGATTAAAAAAAATAAATAAATAATCACATTATCAAAAATAACCTTTTAGCCAACGGGCCGCAAGTTGCTGACCACTGATCTAAACTGAATCTCTGAATGTCAGCATTATTTCTCAACATTTGTCTTCTGCACGTCAGTTCTAGATAAAGAATGGAGGGAAATAAACTGGAGGTGAGTGTGTTTGCATCCTGAATTTAAAATTTTGAAACATCTGTTTAATCTGTGAAATGTGTTTTCGTTTTTTTCTAAAGTGTGATGTAATGTTTCCTCAGCGGAGACAAATACACAGATCTGCAGTTTGTGAACGACTACAATCCTCAGACTGAAGGTCAGCAGCTCAGGATTCTTCTTCATGGGCTGAGTGGAGCTGGAAAGTCCAGTTTCATCAACTCTGTCCACAGTGTCTTAAAAGGCAGAATGTGCACACAGGCTTTGGTGGACAACCCCTCACATGACTGTGTCACCAAAGAGGTAAAAGTTTGATTGTGTTGATATCATGAATAGGAAATATTAATAATAATAATTTAATAATAATAATAATTCTTCTCATTAAACAGCGTGTGCCATGGAACCTATTCCACATCAGGTTGATATCACCATACTAGCTATAGCTCACATTTTTAACCTCTAAACTCACCAAACCCTATATTGCATGAAAGCATATTAGCGCCATAAAGGTAAAATAAAAAAAAATAGAATTACTGCCTCGCAGTTGTCTGCCTCCGCCACTCAGACTAGTTTTAGACACCATCCCTGTTTATCCACAATCATATAAAATATGAACCATTTGTGTGAAATTTTATCTGATTGCTGTGTGAGGTCTTGAGTTATGGCTGAAAAGTGTTTTGTGAGGTCACACTGACTGACTTTGACCACCAAAATCTGGTGGTCTACCTTTAGCATGTGGTACAGTATTTATTATATCCCAGTGTCTACATATTACCCATCCTTTCATACTATGCCTCCTGGCTGGTGGTGATAAACTGGACAAAGATACTCTAATAAAGGATCATAAGACATCACCAACTGCACCAATGGAATAAAAGTAGAACAGTTCCTGTCCCCTAACTGACAGCAGTCATCAGGCGTCCATTATATTGTAATCATTGGAAACATGGTAACGTTCATAACATTACATGAGTCGTCCCAGAGCCCTAATGTCAGTAACTTTATTATAGAGGTGAAATTTGCAATAACAAGCTAGCTCACGTTAAGTAACGTTAACACCTAATGTTATAACCAAATCTTGATGGCTAGCATTAGCTTAATCAAAACAACTCATCCTTATCAGCCTAATTAATAGTCCCAAGCTTGACACTTACTGTAAGAGAGTTGCACCTTTAACCCCACCCCTGTTCTGCTCACAGTTTAAGATGTTCAGTTGAATAAATATAAAGTTCATGTAGCTCCAAACAGAAGCACTTGCAGCAACATAAGCTGAACTAAACCGACAGGCACCAGGCACAATAACAATTGTCCATGTGTTTTACAGTACACGACCTACAAGATCGAAAAGGGAAACCCAAACACCTTTTACCCCTTTGTCTTAAATGACATGATTGGTATGAAAAACGCCAATGACAGAGTCCATGTGAAAGATATCAAACGGGCGCTGAGGGGACATGTGAAAGACGGTTACACGGTAGAGTTTATGTATTTTTAAAACTATTTTAAAAAACTGTCATCTGTTTTCCATTATATCGATCTTAGTAATTGTCGTCATTTAACTATACCTGACTTTGTTTTCAGTTCAATCCTGTCTATAAGTTATCAAAGGAAGATCCGTACTACAACGAGTCCCCAACCATCAACAACAAAGTGCACATTCTGGTTTGTGTCATTGATGCCAGCACAGACGATCTGTGCGGGGAAAATGTTGCTGCGACACTACGGGATATCAGACTTGAAGCCAGTGAACTGGGTGAGAGCAGAAACCACCATTTTATTCTTTTCCACTCTGAGGTCACACTCCCCTCTTGCAGGTTTCCTTAGTTTTTTCCGTCCTCATAGAGAACATCAGCTCTGGTCAGCCTGAGTATACTGTATTTTTAATGTAATTTGTTCACATTCAAGTTTTGTGTTTCCTTCCCGCAGGGATTCCTCAAGTGGCCGTTTTCACCAAAATTGATGAGGCCTTCCCCGAGATTAAACAAGATATAAGGAACATCTACAAAAGCAAAAAGCTAAAGGCAAAGGTATACTATTACTATTAATTCAATTAATTTGCACAAAGATGATGTATAATTTCATTCAAAGACATTTGCAGTATTTAAGCACAAAGCTGCGAGCTGTAATTCATGAACTGGGATGTTGTGATTTTTAAATGCAGATGCAGAAGTTCAGTGTAAACGTGGGTATTCCAATGAACTGCATCTTTGCTGTCCAGAACTACCATTCAGAAATGCACCTCCACAATGACATTGACACTCTAATCCTGAGCACTCTGAGACGCATCATCGCCTTTGGAGATGACTTCCTCAATAAACAAAATATGTGCTAAATGTTAAGACAGGTTTGCTGAAAGAACGTTGGCTGAATTTCATAAAACTATTGTGTGACAAAAGACCACAATCGCATTTGTGTTTTGTTTGCAGCTTTTTTTTCAAACAACTTTATTTTAAGTTTAAGTAGAGATCCAAATGTTTCCAGAAATGTCAAATTTGTGTAAATGTGTCTAAATTATCCTACCTCTGCTAATGTCAAATAGACTTTTTGGTTTTGCTGAACTGTCATATTTGTTCTTGTGAGTGTTTCTTGTGCTTGGAAAAGAGATCTTAATCTTAACTAGAAAATTCCAGGGAAATTTTGAGTGCCACGGGGGCTATACTGCCGGGATGAGTACATGATTTATTTCCAGTGTTCAAAAGTCACCCTGATCATATTCTGGTTTTGAGAAATGTCTTGATATAAAAGACTCTGATATAAAACAATGTCACATCCCTCCATCATGTATTATGTGGGAAATATCTCATATTCTGTGTTGTTTTTTTTTAATAAAACAAGAGGCAACATGTCTTCAAACTGGCATTTAAAGGGTTAAAATCCTGAAAACTAATAAACATTTGGTAGGTTTGAGCAGAACTGAAGTAGTTTAAGAGATTTATGGAAAAAAAAAAGCAGAAAAAAATATTGATATATGATGATTTTATAGCATTTTCTTTGTGTGTCCTTTTTTGGACGCGAGAAACCCCAGAGGGTACAAAATGTGTTACCAGTGTATAATAGACCTGTAACAGTAACTGACATTAGATTTTAAAAATATGTCAAAAAAGACACTTTCTTGCAGAAATCCATACCTTCAGCTGTAACACAGCCAAAATGATCAGCAAATCAAAAAAGAAAAGTGAAGAAAATGTCCAAAAAAGGACAGAGGGACCCCTGAGGGTTAATAAATCCCATGAACCGCTATTTAAATTACCACTATTATGTTTTTTTCGGTGCTAAATTTAACATTACTGGGGAGGAGAGCAACGCGACTAGAAGTGACAGCAAGAGAGGGCTAGTAGCTTCTCCTCTCCTCTGTCTCAACGGAGACCGCCACAACTTCATTCACTCATTTAACATTCATTTAGCAGTGGCGGGCCGCCACTGCTAAATGAATGTAGAGGAAACACTGTACTCTGAACAGATATATTACCGCTGCCTAAAGAACAAGGTGTGTGAGGTCTTCTAAACTTATATTCTCTTCATAGCAGCCAGAATTCTTTCTTCTTTGGTGAATGAACAATCATATTCTCCCTTGCTTCATACAGTCAGTGATTTTAAAAAAGCACTCACCCACTTAATTTTTTTACATTGGTGGACAATCAGGAGTTATCAGTGCACAGAATCTATGATCCCTTTGAAAGGGTTTGAAACATTTGAACCTCTGAACGCTCAGTATCACGTCAAATTAGGATTAGTTGCCATTATGTTAGTTAGACAAACTGGTGTTAAGAAGTTTTGCCAGGTGCTTCACGTAGCGGGATATGTGCAACCTGGTTGTGGGGTGCAGCAAGCTGTTAGGATCTGAGGCAGACCGATGAACCATGTCTGCATACTCCTGATCCACACGCTGCAGCATGTCCTTCTCCCCACGGTACTTCTGCAACAAGCCGTCGATTGCATCTTTCATGGGTGGTGTCCAGCGTGTGTGGTCCAACACAAACCACCTGATTTAATGGGTCCGGTGCGGGCACCTCTCGGTGCGGACCTCAGTGGCAGGGGCAGGGCATGTGAGATTCGTGAAACACAATAAAGCAATTAGAGTTCCTCAGTCGATCATGTTATTACATTATAACATACAGCAAAACTTTATACACAAAGCGTTCAGTTAACTGACCCATTGGTACTGGATGTTCCTGGTCATCTCCTAATGGCATCTCCTGCTTTAGCAGCGTACTGGCAGAGCGGACGTGTCCGACGGATGGTGCTGCTCCAGGGGATGTCACGCCAGAGAGCAGTGTCAAGCTGGGGGAGGGTGCTGTGTCTGGAGCTTGGGCAGGAGCGGGTGTCTGCACAGGGGACGGAGGCGCAGGAGCAGCTGGTTTGTCTCTCTTTTGGGATCGGTGTTTGTCCCAATCCAGAGGGACTGGACGACAGCCTGGCTCTCTGTACTCCAGGTCAAACCTCTCTCCGGTGTCTCTGTCAGAGAGGTGGAGTGCGGGGTACTTCTCCTGGCCAGTCACACTCAAGGAGGCCAAGTTCAGCTCAGCTGTTAAAGCTGGATCAGAAACAGCAGGGAGGATGACACCTGGCTGTTTAAGGTCCACCAGCCACTGGTAGTCACCGTGTCACCCCTGTCATGCCCTGGGCCTGGAACAATTCCGGGGAGACATGAGTCCCGGTGATCCACTGAGCCTGATGAAAGTGGTACCCCTCCTGCTGTGATTTACCTCTAACAGGTATCCAGATGGGGACTTTGGCACCTTCACCAGGCACATGGTTCAGCTGAAGAGTTCCACCATACCTGTACATTATGCCCTCGG